AGTGGACTGATCAGAAATAGTCTAATTTCTCTGAAGTGACAGAAAGTCCAGAAGTTTTTGTTCCTTCAAATAATGCTGATACATACCCTTGGATGCTCAGTACCTTTGAAAATCAGGTCATATACGTAAGATAGGAATGCTTGGCTCTAATTTTTGGTAATTTTTTTAAAAAAGAATCTGGATTATAGTACTGAGAAGGAGCATAATTATGAGACATTTGTATTGCCCTTCATTTCCATATGATACAGCTGGATGTGGTATTTTCTCTGGATGCACATGTTCATTTTTCAGCCAATCTGAAACCAATGTATACGGATGCATACAATGCACAAGCATGTAGTTGTCCTCTTTGCAAGGACCTAGGGAGTTATGCCCAGGCCCATGAGGTTATTTAGGTGCCTAACAACCAATGAAATCAGTAAGAGTTAGCTGTCTAAATATCTTCATGCACCCGGGATCTACTTTGTACACGGACCCCGAGCAAAAGAGTTTAGTCCTGTGAGAAAGAGAACACAAGTCAAAGTTTGCCCACTCAACTTCCTGCATCTATCACGGGCAATGCCCAAAACAGTGACTCCTGTGTACAGTAAGGTTGGGACCTTGCTGAGTGCTGCAGCAAGGTACAGAGTGGATCTGCTAGGACAAAAGGGCCTCTAGCACCAGCTCAGGTTTGCTTCTCAAAGCAAACTCAGCCATGGCTCTCCCTGTACCAGGATAGGCAGAAAGGAAAACCCACACCAACATGTGCTCAGGGGAGTCCTGCCATTCCAACACATGCAAGAACAGCTGCAGAGACCACCCAGGCGAAGCACAGAGCCAGTCTTCCTCCCTTGCCACGTGGTACTAGGTCCTGCTTTTACTTGAAGCTTGCCTGGTGTTTGCATGTACTTTGTGACTATTCAGAGATAAATATGTGCATGAATTATTCACAAGTATCCAGAAAATCAGTTCTGAAAGTTGTAAAACAGTAGTGTGACGACAGGCTGGTCAGATCTTCAATGGTTTGTTTGCCACAAACAAACTGGAAGAATCAGCAAAGGTTTTATATTAATTTCTAGTTAAACCTGCCTTGTGTAGGAATCAGTTCTTCCTGAAATTTCATCTATGAGCAGTCAGATCTCCATGCAGCATTTCTGCCACTTGCCTGAGTTACAGATGGGCAGGTACCAGCGAGGAGGGTAACACCTGAGTGTTGCCCGTGATACAGGCAAAAAGCTGCCCCGAGGCATCGATCTGTGGATTAGCTTGGGTGCATTTCTTACCTGGGACCTAGGTCTGCTCTCCCTGAGTTAACAAGTTTGTGAAGGGGCATGTTCAGGCTTCCAGTGTACTAGTACTAATGTTAATGATATTATATGTTATGGCTGAATTATGTCCTGGTGCTTAGAAAATAAACAACTTGGCTTTCCCTTAATGTTTATCTTCAGTAAATACCTCAGCTTTGCTTCAACAATTATCTCTCTGCAGCAGACCATTATGCAGTAGCAACATATAATTCCATTAACATTACCGTTTAAAATATATCCTTTTTGTGCAGAAGAGAAAGCAGTTGTGTGTGGGAAATGTCAGGGGCCTCATGTATTTTTGGAATTAAAACAGAAATTAAATCATTCAGCCTATTCTTTATCCTCTCAGTTTTTGTTTTTCTATTTCTTGTTTTGCACAACAATGCAAGCTCTTTCTGGCTTGTGAGGAGATTGCAAATGGAGAAATTTGGAAGGCGCCTGGGGAAAGCCTATTTTATCACAGTCCTGTGCCAGGGGCTACTGATAATAACTGATAAAGGTCCAGCATATCAGCTGAATCTGCTTCAAATTGGCAACAGGAATTTAGGAACAGGTAGATGTCGGGCTCTTTTATATTTTCTAAGGAGGAGGTGTAAGAAGCTCCTGGTGATAATTGTTAAATATTAACAGTGTGTTGACATTTCAATCTGATTGCACACAAGCCAGCAAGACACCCAGAGGTTAACAGACTGTTTAAAGCAAAAATGATCTCACTAATTTCAGTGCTAGTGTAGGAGCAGTGTGGGAGGAGCCACTGCCACGAATATGGTGTTCTGCACAAATGGCCAGAAGAGTAGCATCTGGAAGCTCACAGCTTTCTATTATGCATAAGTCTTTTTGTCCTCTGCATTCTGTATCGAGCCAGCTATGCAGTTAGCACTTAGAAAATATGCAATAAGACAAATTAATTGGGACAGGATCTGTTCTCATGTGTATCATTCCAAATCTAGAGGAACTCTATTAACTCACTGAAATAAATGAGATGAGGACCTGGCTCATTGTGTTTATGGCCAGATAAACTTTGGCAAAGATCTCAAATAACAGGATCTCTATAAGGGAAAAAGTTGCAGCGATGGGAAGCGGTTAAGAAGGAAAGGACAGTGGCAGAACTAGGCAAAGAGAGCCCAGGTGTGGATGGAAACAACACAGAGTCTGCAGGCAAACTCTCCAAGGCTAAATAATTCCAGTAGAGGACACAGATGTCTAGTGAAGAAAAGGTCTTGGGCTGTTTGGGACACTTGAAACCAAAGCCATTGCTGCCCAAGCTCATGCAGTACCTCTCTAACAGATCTCAGCAGCCCCTGGGCTTCTTCACAGCCCAAACTTGCTGCTACTTCACATGACCTGAGCTCTCAGTGCCTATTTCACATCTACAGCTGTGTAAGATTCATGGACTAGGTGTTCTTGTACCAAGGTCCCCAGAAGGGCTCACTCTAGTAGACACACTCTGAATGCACCTCAGGACTGAGTTTCATACAAAGTACTGCAGAGAGGGTCCTGTGCCTCATGGGGGTGCCCAGTATTTTCTAAAATAACCAATGGTCCACTTTCATCGGCCTTTGGCACCTAGTACTTGCAGAGGCCATCACACTAGCATGACCAACAGGAGCAGCCAACATTCCCCCAAGGCGAGCAGCTATCTCTACCCTCACCTGTCATGAGCCATTAAACAACTTTTCTGCACTGCTGCTGTGAGGAGTTGGGGAGATCGGGGTGGTGGGCTGTTCTGAAGTTTGGGTTAGGGCAGGATGAGAAGTTTCATGTGGTTCTTTAGAAAGGCTTACTATAGGAACTGCTCTAGTGAGATTCTCCACCTCCTTTAGGAACAGTGACCTAGACGGCAGCACCATGTGGGTAGGAGTTAGCCTACAGGCCACCGGTATGGCTGAGCAGGTCTGGTGAATTTTGCATTTGCTGAATAACTAGGAGAGATGCGCTAGATGTCCTCCTCGATAGCTCTGTTACCTTTACTAGGCAGAGAAAGTTAGGTTAAGTCTAAGAAGCCGGATTCAGCCTTGAGGTTCAGGAGTTCAGGTGGGACAGGAAGGTCTTTGTTCCCACTCTTCTTATGTAGGTTATCCAGTGTGAAGTGCATGGATAGCCCTGAGAGGAATGCTTGTGTGTACGAACCCAGGAACTCTGTATACAACAGGAAGGGTTTATAACTAGTCTTGGTTTAAAAGTGTCTCACACCTACAATTCAGGAAAAATGTTAACAGATTAAGAGGTTTCAGAAAAGAGTCCAGTGAATGATCCAGGACTGGAAAACATGCCTCACAGCAAGAGGTGCTCAGAGCTGAAACTCTTCACTAGAGCAAAGGGAAAGGCTCACGTAACTGCAATTTAAAAGGACCTGTGTTTGGAGCAAAACTTTGGAAATGGGCTCTCACATATGTCTGTCTAGACAATCTGCCTTAGAAACAAGGCATGTGGTTTCAGCAAAAAGGTAAAACTAGCTACTAGCTTACAATTTAAATAGAGGGGAAGGTAGATTCTTTATCACCAGGAATAGTTTAATTAGACTTGGCTGTCCTACTCAAAGAAGTGCTGCAGTTCAAACAGGAATGAATGTAAGTCATGCACTTTGGTCTGTGTTACACAGGGCAATGCTAGGTGACCACAATCAATGAAAAGTGGGTCAGTCTGTTCTTTGCTCCCTCTCCTCCCTCCATCCCTCAGCAACAGGTCTCTGCACAGTAGGAGCGAAGTGAAGCATCTCCTGAGTTGCCTTCCTCCACCCTGGGATGGGTGCAATTCTGGCGTGCAGGAACTGAGCTTGGAAATTCAGGAATTAATAGCATTTTTCCTGGGCTTGCATAACTAATTGTTGACCAAGAAAAGAGAGCAGATGTGGGCTGGTAGGATCTAGAATAAATTCATTAGAAATTAAGAGTCCAATGATCAGCTGGAAACTTCCTACTCTTCGGAGGCCAGAGAGAGTCCTTACAAAAGAGAATATCTCCTTCTGTCCACATGAAAGAACTGACAACACTTACTCTCTTTCTCTTTTATACACACACACACACACACACACACAAACAAACAAAAAAAAAAGAAAGAAAACATAGCCTTTTTTTAAATACCTCATAATGTTATGGTAATTCCGAAGATTAGGGGAGTGCTGGGTTTTCTTCTCTTCTGGGGCTAACAGTCCCTTACGAGATCCAGACTCTATGCACCAGGCAGCAGTCCCCTCACACTTCCCACTCCGAGTGTGTTATCTCATGTCTTTGTGAATGTATCCACAGAGGATGCCACAGTGACCTCTCTTGGCAAGCTACGCTTGTGTCAAATTGCAAACATATCTTTTTTCTCAAGCTACTCTTTGCATGATGTCTGCCAGGAGATGTAAAAGAGAAATCAGCTGAAAAAAAACAATGCTAATTACTTGTAAGTCAGAACATCACCTTAAAAATCAGGAAAAAAGCCTCTATCCATTTTTATAATGTTAACATAGCCCCAGCATAGCAGTTCAGCCAACAAAATTTGTCAAAGACCCAGTCTAGATTATGCACGAAATATTTAATGCCTGAATACTTTTATCTCCTGTTTCTTTAAAGGGAATAGCACTTACTCTAGAGTCCCCATGAATGCATTAACCTCCCTTGACAGCAATCTTCTAAATCCCAGCATAAAAATAAGATGCAGTCCGATGATGCTTATACAAGCTTTGAAAGCTCAGACTAGTATTTATTTCTCCAACTTGTTCCTCCTTGTTCACAAGATGTATTTCAGTCCTCTGAATTTGCAGTCCATGCTTTCTCACAGTATTGCTCTCCTCATCCCCACCCCAAGCTGAGGGAAGCTCTATCTTTAAGACACCGTGCAAGTCACCAAGAGTGGTGCAACACGTAGCTCCACCTGTATGTGGCCAGACAGGTAGATCTGGAATCCAGCCCATCCAGCCCATCCAAAAAAGAACAACTTTCTAATATGAAGGCTATCGAAGCACTGGAACAGGCTGCCTGGGGCGCTGGCAGAGTCTCCATCAAGGGAGGTCTTTGAGAACTGGTTAGACAAGCATCCACCGGGAGTGATACAAGTGCAGTTCATTTTGCCTTGCAACCCTATTTTTCTTAGATCTAGGGTCAAATTCTATTCCTTAAGAACTGTTATGAACTTTCTTATGTTTCCTGCATCCTAGGAAGATAAGAAGACACTGTTTTGCAACTTGCACTGAAGTAAGTGGGTTGCAAGCCCCATTAATAATCTTAGAAGAGCATTAGGCCCTTACTGACTATTGTCCAGCTACTAGAGTGATTGGTATTGACTGGCATTTGAAGCTCAAATCCCCAAATCAGCAATAGCTTCCAGACTTTTATAGCTTGCATTATTTTTAGAATATTACACAGTTTTCACGACTGATCAGCCTGGAGTGACTTTGCTGTGAGTCCTAAGGGAGGGGAGAGAAAGGGGTTCATGGAGATTTAAATTTCCATGGGTGATAAGCTTGCATGTGCTTTGAACTGCAAAATGGCAGCTCGTTGTGAAATCCTCTAAGAGCATACCTTTTAAATGCCAAACAAGCACAGCACCAAAAGCACATAAAGAAATAATTGAAAGGCTCTGGAGGGAAGCCAAGAGGACGTGGCTAATGTTTCACCTAATCTCACCCCCTCGCTCTCTCTCCTCCAACAGCTCTGCCTGCATGACGTGAACTTCAGAGCTTCAGCAGGCAGCTGCTTCTTGACTGCATGCACTGTCTGCCTCGTTGGCAGCAGGACAAGAAAAACAAAGAAGCTAAAAACATAAAACGGTGAGAGATTAGGAACTGTGCGGCTGGGAGGACAGAGCTCTCTCCCTTCACCGTGGGTCTGAGGTTAAAGTCCCTCTCAAGATCCTGCCTGAGCTGGGCTTGGAGGGCACCGCTGAGATCTCTGCTGGCAGGCATCCACTGCACAGAGCCACCACACACAATTTGTGTGCATCTCAGCTGCCTGTTCAGGAGAGGCCTGGCACAGAGGATGTCTGAAAGGCCTCCCCTCAATGCTGTGAAAGAACCAGCATTGGTGGTTCTTTCAAGTCGGGCAGGAGATAACTGGTGGAGCAGTATGGGAAAAACTTGTAATGAAACTTGTTAAGCTGTACCTTTCCTTGGAATAAATCAGCTTCGATCCCCCAGCCTCCAGTCTCCTGTCATTTACCTGAACACAGTAATATATCTCCTTCTTTCATATGCCCCCAAATACCTTTCTTTTAACACAAAATATTTTATGATGTGTCAATAATCTGTACTGGAAGTAATACTCTAGAGGCCCTTCCTAATAGCCCTGCTCTGGGACTCCTGCTTTCTCTAAGTTACTCCGAGTCGTGTGCTTACTTTGTGCAATTAGTACCATGAACAAATGCTACTCAGGGTATGAAAAAGTGCATAGTCACACCTGGAATTCTGTTGTTATCACTTCCTGGACAGGTTAAATTCAAAATGCAGCTGACAAACCTGACGTGCTTAGAGCAACAGAGCTATTATGTATGCAGGAATTTGGACTTATTGGAGGCAAACAGAGTTAATTATTGATTGGTCATATTCACCCCAGCTCAAGTGAAGTTTTTAGGACTGACCTTTTGCCTGGCCTTAAAATATCAACTGTCGTTGATGGGGTAGTAGAGCTACAAAGCTTTTCAGTTGATTTAGAAAGGGCTCTTCATGCTACAAACAACAAAAGTGACAAAAGTATTCCAAATGTTAAATGAAAAAAGCAAGTCATAATTTTTTACTAGGTGCTGACCAAAAACCTGGAGTTTAAGTCATAAATCACCAGAGTTGTGGTCTCACGACATAAGCAGTAGCATAGCAGGAAAGCAGTGACTGAATGGCAGTGAAATGGAAGTAAAGATTGGAGACCAGTAGGGGACTGAAAGCAAATGTGATTCTCCTTGGTAAGATCATATGAACCCATAGGGAAGAAAAGAACTAAAAACGAATGCACAGTTTGGCCCAAACCAGACACAAAATTAAAATCAACTGAGTTTCTGAAGGTTTGGTCTTGTTTGTTTATTTGTTTACTAGATTTATTTTTGATCCGGCTGTTTTTCATTTTGGTTAGTTTCATTTTGAGGCCAAGTGATGAAACAGTACAAGAAAGGAAGTTCTTGTGGTTTTTCAGGGCCATCCAGACGCAGAGTAATGGAAAACCAACCATAGGCAGGAAGGACTGGAAATCATGTGTGAGAGCTTTCCTATGCAAGTTCTGCCCCGTTCTGCAGATTAAAGGTATAGCATGAAATACAGGCTCTTTCTTGGGGTTGTGCAGCTGTGTGTAGATCTAGGGTAGGCACTGGGAGATATTGTGATAAACTTCTAGAGAGTACCAAAACCAGATTGCCTTTGGAGATATAACGATCCATCCATCCCCTTTGCAGCCACCCACTTTGCGCTCCTTCCAGGATCTGTAGTCTTCGTGCTCCATTAGCCCTAGGACGCACGTTGTGTTCAGCCAGCAAGTGCTGGAGATGTATCCTTGTGCTCTCTTCCCTGCTTGCGCACCCGTGTCAGGTCAGGCACTTCCTGGCCTTAACACAGTTCAGAGAGTTTGCATTAGCATTGCACAAGCGTGAGCCAAACTGCCAAACAGTAGAACTATCTTTTTTTTCCTTCCACTTCTCAGTAAAAACTCAAGAGCTCCAGGGCAAAGCGCATGGTGCTGCTCTAGATGGTGCCTTACTTTAGCTCACTGTCTTTGTAGAGTAAAAGGTACTTCCTGCAACAAAAATATGCATGTGTGAGTCCAGCTAGCTAACTAGCTACCTGGCTAGCATATTTTAAGTTTGCTTTACAGGCTAGTCAAAACCATTCTCATCCAACCACTGTGCACAAGCAGAAAGAAAACAGCATTAAATCTAAGCATTTGACTGATCAGGCCGAATCAGACCCACACAGCGCACCAGACTCTCACCTGTCATCAGCATCAGGTAAGGTGAAAAATATCCAAGAATTCACATCTGTACACAGCTACAGAAAAGAGAGAGCACAAGGGAAAGGTAATGCCTGGCTTCTATTAGACAGAGGTTGGCTTATATCTCAAGAAGGAAGTTTCGTATTTTTTTGTTCTGTCTGTGATACATATATAGCTACTATCATTCAAGTATATGAATGCTTTGTGATCCATAATTCACATCTTTTCATAACCTCCTATGAGCAGAGAAGGATAAAGTTCTTACCTTCACTTCGTAGGATACGGTTTGGCCAAGGTCCTAAATGTCAGACAGAGCCGTGAATTGAATGAAATTGTCTCAGCCTATAGAACAATGGGTAAAAGTTTAACCTTCTCCTTTTTATTGTTTATTATTCATTAAGTAGCTACAGAACAGATCTTCAGCTGGCTAAAGTATGCTTATCTTCCTTTCTTCGTGGGGATGTTTGCCATCTTGCCCCATCTCTGGTTTAACCCTATAAACGTCAAAAGGATCGGCTTCTGTAGCTGCGCCAAGAAGTATTTGATGACCTTCCCATCCTCGCAGGTTTCCCAGCATGCAGTAGAAGACCATCAGGTATGTGTCCATGAGAAGAGAGGTGCGAACGGAGTGAGGGGCCGCTTCGTGTTCCCCCGCACCAGGTCTGGCTGTGCCCAGGCTCCCTGTGGCCCACAGCTCCCTGAGGACCTTATGGAGCTCTCTTGCCCCTCTCCCTACATGAAGCTACTACATATAGCGGTGACAAGCTTGTGGGTCACACTGAGACTGCCCTTCCAGCTGGTGTACACAAGAAAGCCTCTTTTTATGCCGCTGTAATACAAATAAAACAATTGCACGGGATAAAGCCTGCTTTCCTTTGCACTAAAAATCTGAAATGACACCATCTGGTTTCAGGAGACTAGCTCACCTTCCTTCTTCTAGCCAGTCCTAGAAGAAAATTATTTTCTGTGCTCCAGGTAGGGAGCAGAGAATCCCAGATGTGACTAATTTATGTGATTAATAGCTGATGTGAACTATCAGGAGAGGAAAGTTGTGAGGGAACAAAAAGGAAAAAATCATTTGGGGAGTCAGTCATATATGATATTTTATTTCATTTTATTAATAGTTTGAAAAACAAATGTAACCAAATTCAACCTTCAAAGGCCTCCACTAAAAAAGTGCAAAAGATACCATTTTGAAAAATAAGAATTATTTCAATGATTTAAAAAAAGATTTCTTTTCTGATGAGGCTATTCACTGAATTTAGCATAACCTTTGCAATATTTTCAGTCAA